GGGGACATGTTAAATGTGCAGTTTTAATGTAATGTGTCTTACATAGTGTAATTAATAGTAATTCATGTTTTAGTATTCCCACGTGCATAATGGCGGTTTGCCTTTGTCTTGGGAGATAATTGAATTACTTCTCAATTATCTCCAGGGCAGAGGGGAGGAAGCCAGGATGCATTGTGGGAATATAATGTGACTGTGTGTCCTATTTGTCTACTTGTCTGTCCTTTGTCACGGTCTCCCATTTGGTCCCCTAGGGGAGTGTCCACCAGGTGGGAGACCTGCATAAATACTGGGCAGGTAGCCCTCATTAAACAGACCACTGCTTGACCGTCAACACGGAGCCTTGTCTCGTCTTTGGGGGGGATTTACTGTATGCTGCTAAGGACTGATTGCCAGGAGTGTAAGCCGCTTGGAAGCTTTTCCTGTTCGCCTGCTAGCAGCTATTTGTATGGTTCCTGTTCGTTTATTTGAAGTGCTACCTTATTCCCTTGTATGCCGTTCGGGAGTTTGGAGCATTCACTTATTGGCGGTTCGTGAGTTTTGGTGATTCTACAGTAGCTGTGCCTGTCTCTAAAAGGGGGATTATCGTCTAAGCGGTTTTGTCCCCTTTTGTGCAAAACGGTCCGTTACAATAACTACCATATTACAGATATAACCTATACACTCTCTTTTAAATCTCTTACGTGACACCTTTCACTTATTACTTAAAGTTTTTATCATCCCAAATATCTATTTAATATTTATTTAATCCAATTCAATCAATATATATCCTTTAAAGTGACTTATAAAAGTGAGTTATAATAAATAGTGATTATCTAGTAATCTCGCTTAGGCCTTGCCCCTATCGTGGGGCACTGCATATTACCCATGTATCTTAATATACATTCAATTCTTACTTATTTAAATGTGTATGTAGTAAGGGCAAATACACATTTGACCCCATTCATTATATTAAAAAAAAAACATCATTGTGACTTGATAAGAGTGTCATTGGGTATCATGATAAATAAATAAAAAATAAAGTCATTTATTTTAGAACTTTTTCTCTCTCTTTTTTTCTTCATTTCTTTCAGTTATGCGAATTCTTCTCATTCTAAGACATGTTGTTTGTAGTTAACCATTCAGTTACTTGAGCCGATGATTTAAATACTTTCCACGAGTCATTATAAAGGATAAGCAGCATGGACTGTTGATACCATTTGAATTTTAGGTTGTGAATTTTCAAGGAAGGAAAGTACTCTTACTGCTTTGAATTAAATCTCTGAGAGGCTCTTTTTCTTTGCTGTATAAAAAAAAATCAAAGTTCTAAATTAAAAAGAGTGAAACGCCACAATAAGGTCCCGAGGATATTCCTGTTCTTGTCTTTTGTAAAAAAGCCTATGGCAACGAATCATTTTTGAATCATATTGATCAATATTAATTCCTAAAGCCATGATATATTCTATCAAATATTCTCTTAGGTGGAGATCTGAAATATCTTCGGATATATTCCTAAATCTAAGATTAATTTTTCTAGATCTATCCTCTAAAGCGCAAATTTTATCTTCCATTTCACTCAGTATTAGTCTTTACCTTATCCTGCGACTCTATTATCTTGATCAACTGCTCTTCTCTTTCTTGATCTTTATCTTCTAATTTTAGGATTCTTTCACCTATCAGGACCAGATCTGATTCTATTTCTGTGAATTTATCATTCAGCTCATTTTTTATTTCTTTTGACATCACTTCTAAGCAGGCTTTTAGAATAGATATGGTAACTGTATCTTTATCCATAAAGAGTACTGGTGGGGTTAAAAGGGCTGCAGGGGATGGTTCAATAGTAGATTTTTCCAATATTTCCAGATTGTCTTGAGGGACAAAAAAGGCGGATAATCTTTTTTTCATTTTTCTGTCCTTTTTTATCGGACTTAGATGTCAGTTTAGTATCTTGTGTTTTTTTTGACAACATTCTTTTTTTCCTTTTTTTTCCCCTTTTCCTTCCACTTCTCTCTCCTTTTCTCCCCCTTTTCACCCTTTTCTTTCTTTCTTTTCTTCTTTTTTCTCTCCCTTCCTTTTTTAAAGCTCTGGAAATTATATAATGGATCAAGGGCTAGTTAAGCTATATATACTCTGCAAGCTTCTGATCAGAGCTAACAGCTCAAATCAATTACATTGATTTAATACTTGTGGATTATATGCTTGGATTGGTGTTGATATCTCGCTCATATAACAAGCTGCTTATTATCACCATAGGCTCTGCCATAAGTACTTCTTCACTTTCTGAAGATAAGGTAAGTGTAAGTATGCGGTTGTTCTCATAAGGATAACTGAATTTCCTGGCTAATCATGGCAGCATTTAACATATGGGTTTAGTTCCTCCCTCCAACCCTCAGGACAGGAAACACAATCAATTAAACAATTAAGCCTACCTTCCCCTAGTATATTAGGTACCCCAGTATCCCCCACACCTCAGTCTAGTAACAAGACAAATAAACCAAGAGAGGGTGGGAGACCAAATGCTGCCATGAATAATAGCCAGGAAAAGAAAATTACGGTAAATATCAATAAATTTTCTCTATTCCTGGCTAATCATGGCAGCATTTAACATATGGGATTACCAAAGCAATAACCACTCAGGGAGGGTAAGTCATGCTACAAAAACTGTTTAATATCCACTTAAGGCTTATAAGAGTTCAGGACCGATAGGCCAAACTCTGAATCAGAACGAGATGAGATATCCACTCTGTAGTGGTGTACAAAGGTTTTTAAAGATGACCAATTGGCAGCTTTACAGATGCTCTCTGCAGGAACTCCTGACTCTGCAGCCCATGAAGTAGCCGATGTCTGCTGAGGAAATCCGCTATTACATTCTCCTTCCCTGGGAGATAGATGGCACACAGGCCTTCCACATGATTCTGAGCCCAGGTCATAATGGGAACTATCTCTCTCATCAGGGCTACACTCCTTGTTCCGCCTTGATGGTTTATGTAGGCAGCAGCCGCTTTGTTGTCCACTCTCAACTTGACCCAGCAATGCCTGATGAGATGCTGAAAATGAAGAAGCGCCAGAAAGGTTGCTCTTAGCTCCCTGATGTTGGAAGGCAAGCATTGAGTTCTTGGAGGCCAATTTGCTTGAAAAAATTGATTGCCTAAATGTGCCCCCCAACCTGTCAGACTGGCATCTGTCGTAATGACCACCCAATCTATTTCCCGCAAGGGGAGCCCTCTGGAGAGATTTTCCCACGACATCCACCAAAGGAGCTTCTGCTTCAGAATCAAAGGAATGCGAATCAGCGTCTCCCACTCCCTCGAGTCGGTCCTGAAATTTTTTAGGAAAAATTGTTGAAGAGGGCGAAGGTTCCACTGGGCCCATCTGACAAGTTCTATCGTAGAGGAAAGAGTCCCCAGAAGTCTCATAAACTCTCTTGCCGAGGCTGAAGTCTTTAGTCTGAAGTCCCTTATCCGATCTCAAAGTCTGATCTTTCTGTCGTGTGAGAGGGATACAATCGCTGTGTCTGTATTGAAATTTGCTCCCAGGAATATCAGTTCTCTTGAAGGATGCAAGTGACTCTTCTCGTAATTGATGAGCCAACCGAAATGAGATAGAGTGTCGAGGACTAATTGCCTGTGTTGGAATATTGATGCTAGGTCCGGAGCCACTACCAGGATGTCGTCCAGGTAGTGAAACACCGCTACACCTTCTTTTCTGAGCAAAGCAATGATGGTGACCAGAACCTTCGAGAAGGTCCTCGGGGCCGTACTTATACCAAAAGGAAGGGCCTGAAATTGAAAGTGTTCCTTCCGGACACAAAACCTGAGAAACCTTTGATGGGTGAACGTGATAGGGACATGAAAATATGCATCCCTGAGGTCTACTGATATCATCCAATCTTGGTGATGAACAACCGGAATGATGGAGCGAATGGATTCCATCCGAAATTTTCTGACTCTCAGATAAAGGTTGAGCTGGTGGAGATCTAAAATAGGCCTCCATTTTCCCTCTGGCTTCTTGACCAAGAACAGGGGGGAATAATATCCCTGGAATCTTTCTTTTATGGGTACAGGTATGATGGCTTCTTCCGTAAGAAGATTGTTGACATAAAGAGTCAAAACCTCTCTTTTTTGGATGTTGGCTGGAAGCCTTGTGCGAATAAACCTTGGTGGAGGTGGATATTCGTCGAATTCCAGATGATAACCTCCGGTGATAATGGATCTTACCCAAGCATCTGGAATTATTTCCCAGGCCCTCTGAAAGAATGAAAGACGTGCTCCCACTCGAGGAACCTGGAGTAAGCCACCTTCAGAATTGCTTGTTGGGGCGAAAGGAAGAGGTCTGCGTCTTGCCCCTAGAGGATTTCCCATTCAGGCCGCTCTTCCAATTGGAATTCCTTGAGAATTCTCTACCTGGCCTGTAAGTCTTACTTTCCCTAAAGTAGCCTTGATCCCTAAAAGGTCTACGGTCCAGACGAGGTCTCTTTGGACGCCTATCTTGTGGCAGCATGACCTGTTTAACCTCGGCCGCCTTTTTAATCGCTTCATCCAGAGGTTTCCCAAAAAGCACTTCTCCCATAAAGGGAAGTGAGCATAAATTATTCTTAGATGACAGGTCTGCTCCCCAGGATCTCAGCCAAAGCGCCCTTCTAGCGGTGACTGAATGTGCCATAACCTTAGAAAGAATTCTAATGAGGTCAGTGGAGGATTCCAAAAGCCAGTCACTGGCGAGTTTAATATCCCTTAAGGATTCCGCCATCTGACGTCTACTGACCCCTTTATCTATGTCATCCTCCAAGGCAAGCAACCAGGAACGCATGGCTCTAGACAAAGCTGAAATGGACACAGCTGGATGGCAACCTAAACCCGCTGTCATGAAAGCTTTAGATAAATCAGCATCAATCCTTTTATCCATGGGCTCCTTAAGGGAAGCATTGCTATCAATTGGTAGCGTGGATCTTTTAGCAACCTTAATGATAGGAGCATCAACCTTGGGGACCGTAGTCCACAATCTGGCATCCTCCTCTTTAATCGGATATAACTTCGAAAGCCGACCCTGACTAGTAATCCTCTTACTAGGAATTTGCCACTCGTTCCTCATCAGGTCTTTAATAGAGCTGTGGACTGGAAAGGAAGGTTTTTTCTTATGTAAATCTCCAAAGTGTCTGTCAGAAGCTGAACATTCTCTGGTTTCTTCCGGCAAATCCAATGTTCTTCTAACAGCCATAATCAAATGCTCCATAGCTTTGGAGTCCAAGGAGCAAGGTTGTTCCATATACTCCTCTTCACTGGACGAGATTGGCTCCAAATCCAGGTAAGATGAAGTCTGTCTGTATTCATCGTCAGACTGATCTGAATCCATGCTGAAGTTTTCCCCTCTTGATCTCTTAATCTTGTGGGATTCAGCAATTCCTTCAACCACTGCCTGATTAATCCAATAAGCAATATCCTTGGCTGAGGAGGTAGAGGCTTGCGGTGACCTCTGGTGATCAGATTCTCCTGCGGCCATGTTTAAGCATTTTCTGCAGAGCCTGCAGTTATCCAAAGGCCTTGCTCCACATCCAGGGCAGGCTGCCGGCTTCTCCCTTCTCCTCGATGGGGATCTGGGACAGGACCTGTCACGAGGGCTGTAAGATACAGAAGTCATAAGACTGTACCCTCTGTGCACTCTTTTTAGTAACGTGAAGAAACCAAGAAAAAATATTGCTCACCTATGACCTATAGCAGATCTCGTTGATCTTGCAGAAGGGGATGAAGGATCCATACTGACTGTAGGGCTAAGAATGTTGAAATAATAAGAAAAGTATTCCCAGCCCAATATTATGTTGATTTTAAAATATAAGTAATTCTCTTACCTGCAGAGCTGGAGGGTTGGAGGGAGGAGCTAAACCCATATGTTAAATGCTGCCATGAATAATAGCCAGGAAAAGAAAATTACGGTAAGTATCAATAAATTTTCTCTAATCTTCTACTATCCTGCTTATTATGTCTGTTACCTCAATGTATAATGTGCCTCTGGTTACCACCTTCCCATCAGTATCTTGCCTATTATATATATATCTCTTACTTATGTTGCACAACAGTCTCTAATAAATTTGATTATACTGTTTGGCATAATCTGTACTATTTACAAATGTAGATACTGACGTGGTTGGCCTCCTTCTAATTTAGTAGTTGCCACAAATTCTGCGGTTCATACCGATATTTCTTTTTTTCCTCAACTAATCTGTATATGATTCTTCTTGCCTTTGCCTTGTAATGTTATTGGTTTATACCTCTTCTGTGACTGATCATTGCTGTATCAATTCATCCACTGGGTGAGGTATTGTTGTGAGTCTGAATTGTGCAACATCGGATCATTGTTGCAGCGTTTTAATAACAGACTCTTATTTCTCTACTACTAGGCTCTGCCTCTTTCTGACAGGCAGATATTGACTTGTTCCTGTATCTACAGGTAAGTAGTTCACTAGGCAAGAGGAAGCAATGTGAATCGTATTTAATAAATATATCCAGAAAGTAGTAGGATTCTCAGTGTAATTCTCCCCATGTTTAATAGCATTGTGTGTCCGTTCTCATCCAACAGTATCTACTTATTCCAGTATGATCTCTGGAGGTTAAGCTTTTGTCAAGGTTCTGATTTGATGATGCCATCAGTGGCGTCTCTAGGATTCATTTTTAGGGGGGGCACATGGTGGGCCAGGGACAAAAGTAGGGGGGCACATTTAACCCCGCCCTCGCCGCAGTTTGACCCCGCCCCTGCTGCATGTTAAGCCCCGCCCCCGATACAATGTGTTTTTTTATTTTTTTAATAATCCCTGGTGGAGGATTCATTATTTTCCGCCAGGGATTATTAAAAAAATAAACATTTCCCTTGACATAGTGCCATAGTTGCCAACATTTGAGACATTGGGACATTCAGCGCTCCCTGTACAGTGCTGCTCTCTGTATAATACATGGCTGTGTGTATAATATCCTGGGACAGTCAGTGCTCCCTGTATAGTGTTGCTCTCTGTATAATACATGGCTGTGTGTATAATATCATGGGACAGTCAGTGCTCCCTGTATAGTGCTGCTCTCTGTAAATACAGATCTGTTTGTGTATAATATCCCAAGACAGAGAGCAGCACTATACAGGGAACACTGACTGTTCCAGGATATTATACAGACACAGACCTGTAGTATACAGAGAACAGCACTATAGTATTATACAGATAGGTGAGCATATACCCCATGTCCCAATCTCTAGACTACAAGTACCTGTCAACAGCAGCTCCCAGATGCGTGTAACAGGGCTACAGTGTGCGGCAGCTCACACAGATGATTCAGTGGTAAAGCGCACTCGCTGGCAGAGCCAAAATGGAAAGCAGCCCTGGAAAAAAACATGTATGCCATTCCTACAGGTCAATATATATATATATATATATATATATATATATATATATGTGAAACCGGTGTATGGGTGAAGCGCTATATAAATGGATAAGCAAAGTGGAGAGATAATACCAAGTGATAAACACCAGAAAGATGAAAATGTACCTTCTGTTTATATAATTCACAATAATCCTTTCTAGGACTTCCCTAAAAACATAAACAGAAAAATTCAAACATAGTGCAAATCTGTAATGATGAAAGATGTGGTAGAAATATACAAAGGGCCCACTCACACTTTTAGGAGCTAGAGGGGTATAGCTCAATTGAAGCACTTTCAGAGTCCGTAGAGGCGACTCTTATCCCTTCTTTTAACTCTTCCTTTCTTGTATTCTGGAATGTATAAGGGAAAATACCTCTGGTGCAATAACGTAAGATAGATGTATATATTATAGTAAGGGAAATAGGGTACTTACAAACCCAGAGCCATCCACATCGGCTCTGATCCAATAGCATATGTGGATTAAGGACTACACTCCTTCTTTGTGAATAGCAGGAAAATGCCAATAGTGTATATCAAAAATGTAAACTTTATTGACTATATATACAATATAAGTACAATATAAATATAAAAAATATATATATAAAAAACACTATAATTGCATAAAAAGTCCAGTAATTCAAAAGTCTTTTTGCTCACAATATTCCCAGGACGCGTTTCGCCGTGAAGGCTTCCTCAGCTGGATGTGAAAAAAGTCTGTTACCTTCTTGTACTGGCTCCTGCTATATGTACCCCTCCTGGGGTGAAGATGCTTAATTTTCGGCTTGAATTTTCGCGGGCTATCACCATGGGGATGGTGACGCCCAGCGTGTCAAGCCTCTTTTCTTCTCCATTTCCGGGTACCGCTGTCGGTTCGTCACTTCCGTTTTTTTCGATCGCAATCTAATACTTTTAGGTTCTCTTTCCTTCTTTTTATTATGAGGTTTATGGTTGTTATAGAGAAATTTTCCAAAATCCATAGCCTCTTTATCAAACGTTGGTGTTTTGAAATATCTTAAACCTCTTGGGGTTATTCCTTCTTTCAGATATTTTTCTAATGTGGCTATCTCCAATTTTATCTTAAGTTCTTTTTGAAGCAGTTTTTCCAATTGCTCCCCACCACTATTTTGTCCTATTCTTTTTTTATTGGATTGTAAGTCTGTCCAATTTGCTATTTCTGTCTCCATATTAGTAAATGAACTGCTTCTTTTGTCGAATAGTGACATTTTATTACCTTTTAGCTGCTGAGTACAAATAGTATCAAGATAAGAAAAATACTAAAAAATAGAATCTAGAAAACAGGTAAAGTACCAGCGCTGATATGTAGATAAAGTATGATGCAATTATATAAAGAATCCCACTAATTTTCAGCTGCTGTAACACCCCAATCTTATCTTTCAAAAATGAAGTGAAACCGGTGTATGGGTGAAGCGCTATATAAATGGATAACCAAAGTGGAGAGATAATACCAAGTGATAAACACCAGAAAGATGAAAATGTACCTTCTGTTTATATAATTCACAATAATCCTTTATAGGACTTCCCTAAAAACATAAACAGAAAAATCCAAACATAGTGCAAATCTGTAATGATGAAAGATGTGGTAGAAATATACAAAGGCCCCACTCACACTTTTAGGAGCTAGAGGGGTATAGCTCAATTGAAGCACTTTCAGAGTCCGTAGAGGCGACTCTTATCCCTTCTTTTAACTCTTCCTTTCTTGTATTCTGGAATGTATAAGGGAAAATACCTCTGGTGCAATAACGTAAGCTAGATGTATATATTATAGTAAGGGAAATAGGGTACTTACAAATCCAGAGCCATCCACATCGGCTCTGATCCAATAGCTTATGTGGATTAAGGACCAAACTCCTTCTTTGTGAATAGCAGGAAAAAATATATATATAGTACAGTGAGCACACAAGCTCACTGACATGCGCAAATAGGCTCACTGACAGACAAAAAACTCTCTGACTCGCACACAGGCTTACTACAGACAAACTCACTTGTATAAACACAAGGCTCACTACAAAGAAGTTCAGGGACACACACATGCTCAATAAATAGAAGCTCACTGACACACACAAGCAGTACCATCTTAACAGTGTTAAGGGCCCCAAGGCAAAGCAGTGCACTGGGGCCCTTCCTACACAACAACTCACAGGAATAAAAATTTAAATTATTGATAGACTGCTGAGTACATACACACAGTACACAAATACGAACACCGAGAGACTTCTGAATACACACACACAGATTTCTGAATGCACACAGACGTTGCTGAATGCACACAGGCTGATTTATACACTTACACACAGACTGCTGTGTCTAACACATACACAGCTTAGTCCATACACAAACACACAGACATACAGACTGCTAAGTCCATACACACACACAGACTGCTGAGTCCATATACACACAGACAGACACACAGACTGCTGAGTCCATATACACACACACACACACACAGAGTGCTGAGTCCATACACACACAGACTGCTGAGTCATAGACACAGACACACAGACTGCTGAGTCCATACACACATACAGATTGCTGAGTCCATACACACATACAGACTGCTGAGTCCATACACACAGCCACACACACAGACTGATGAGTCCATACACACACACATACACAGACTGCTAAGTCCATACACACACACATACACAGACTGCTGAGTCCATACAC